TTTCACCGGGTGTAGGGTCGAAGGAACCTATATATATATATATATATATATATATATATATTCTCAATGGAAAAGATAGATACCTATAGTATAAGATTAATTAAAAATTAAAACTGAAATTTTGTACTATTATAATAAGAAAATATAGTACACCATTATAGTTAAATTGAGGTTATTTTACCTAGTCCTTAGAGAGACGAAAGTAAAGTACTATACTACCCTTATATGCAATATTCGGCCAAAACTGCATTCATCATTTCTGATCCTCCATTTAGCATTTTCATTGATTTATTTATTATTAATTTTCTACTTTTTTTTTTAAAACCTGTTTGTTTAATTTATATATATTTTTATTATATTTTTAATGTTTTTTATTTAATTTTTAAATTTTTTTAAATCAATATGTTTATTGTACTGAAAATAACTACATGTAACTGTACTAAACTATAGTAATTCGTAGTTTTATTTTTTTTTACCCCATATTTTTAGTCGATCAATTATGTATACACACGAATACTAGATTATACAAAAGAAATTCATAAACCTTAATAACAAAAAAATACAAATTTCAATACTTATATTATAAATCACCTCAGAACCAATAAAATACAAATAAAAAATACACAAATACATGCATATGTAACTACATATTACTATATGTAACTAGTAATGTATAGTATAACTAGTAATATACAGTAATGTATACTATCTGTTGAACATTGTAAATTGAACAGATATAACTTCAACCAAATTTTTGACACTTTCAAGGAGATGATCAATGGCTTTCATTAAACTGCAATTGTAAAACTAAAAAAAAATTATTTTAGTGCAATCAAAAAAATTGAAGAAACATCAAAACTCTCAAAAACTAAACAAAAACTGAGAGATATATTGAGAGAGAGAGAGAGAGAGAGAGAGAGAGAGAGAGAGAGAGAGAGAGAGAGAGAGAGAGAGAGAGAGAAAGGGAGGGAGGGAGGGAGGGAGGGAGGGAGAGAGAGAGAGGCCATATCTACGAATTTTAAACCAAATAGCCAATGACTCCTCACCCCAATCGCCTCCTACCAAAACCCTAGCCATCGCTAGCCACCCAAGGTTCCACGCTCACAAATGAAATAAATTATAGAAATAAATCTGACAATATAAAAATGAACAAAATTACCAGCAAAATATAGATCTCGGCGAGAGGAATCCAACGGTGGGTAGTGTTAGAGTAGGTGACCAACAAGCCAACATGTGGCTGTGGTTTTTCGTATTTATTATTGTAATAAACGAACCTTTATTCGTATTAATGATAAAACACCTTGGCATTCTATATCTTTGTCCCTTTGTCACAAGCATAGATATAGTCCTTACAGTTATTACAAGTACTAGTAATTGATCGTTAGGATCGTGAGATATTTACTTAAGTATTATAACTGTTAAATGTGTTCCTAGTCGAAGGGTTACGCCACTAATGAGGATATCGGCCTTTCCCATTAAGACTAGCACTTAGTGTATGTGTACTGCATCTCATCAGTAAACGGTATTGTGATATCGGCATGCATAAGTGGGTGCTCGTAAGTTGACGAGTTCACTGAACTCCCTCACCCTAGAAATCTCTAAGTGGTTCCCAATAATCGAGTAGAGATATCTATGGTTTAGTTGTACACCATTAGTCCTTATGACCTAGACATCACCGTGACTTCACTAGAGGACCAGCTGTATCGTGACCTATCCCTGAGTTCCACCGAGGACCATCCCAAGGGCCAGTGTTCGTGCAGTCCGAAATCTAGTGGGAGGTCTGTGCATTGTAGTCGGGGATTCGATCGCTAGAATAGTCTTGGATGTCCTGTGTGTTCTGATAGTTTGTAATCATTCTAAGTCTTTGGCCAGAGCTGACTAAGTGATGATTAGAGAATTCGATTCTCTAAGTCATGCACGTAAGGATTACAACACTTAGAACGATCGCACCGTCATTGAACAAATAAAGAGGTCTCGATGAACCAGTACCTCTAGTTCGATCGGGACATGTGAATCGAAGGGACCGTACTGTACGTTAACTATATCTGAAGGTTCTTGCAGGCACTTCATTTGTATCTAGGGAATCATGACGCGTAGTTGCTAGACACCAATCTTGATTCGTTGGGTGATTAAGGTGAAACGAGCTTCATCTTAATCGTAACTCTAAGGGACGAGTTTTGACCACAAAGAGTTGTGGGCCCACGGCTAGCTTACACCTGAACCATCGAGGGTCACACTGCTCGTGCACATGAGATCTTTGAATAAACGGTCAGAGATAAAATAGTTTATCTTTGCATGATTGGAAATCAATACGATTGAGTCCAACATTCGTAATTTGGAATTACGAATGAGAATAAGAAAAGGAAAAGAATAGGCGAACGTGTTAGTGAACTTTCTAAATCGGGAAGTTTCCAAATTTAGAAAGTGCACTGAACTAGGGTTTCCACTTTTGGAAAGTTGGAAAATGAAAGATGGCACTCGTAATGACGAGGATATTATAATGATTCCGAAAATGTAATTGTTGCAATTTTCCGGTCATTGAATTGAGAGAGACGAGCAAGTAAAGGAACTAACGAGCTTAAGCTGTTGGGCCCGGTCCAACTTAAGCCCGTTAGGGTTTTATGCAAGGGACTATAAATACTTGATTTATAGGCCTTGCACAAACACACAAGACCTAACCCTAACCCTAGCCGTCCACCTCTCTCTCTCGGCCTCTCTCTCCCGCGGCCACCTCCGCCGTCAACGCCGCCGTTTCGCCGGAATCGGCCGTTCATCGGCCGGTTACTTTGGTAGCTTCTTTCCTTCTCTTTTTCTTCCGTTTTTCTAACTATTACGTGTCTAGTGCCACGTGTTTAGTAGATCAAAGTATACGAGGTGAAATCCGAGAGGAGGAAGATCGAAGATCGAAGAAACGAAGAGCAGCGCCCGAGCCGAAGCCGCACGCAACCCCACGCGCCGCCCGAAGACCGCGCGTGAGTTACACGCGCCGCCACGGCCCGTCTCGCCGCTGCTGCCGCTGCACCGCTGCTGCCCCGATTGTACGGATTGGTTTCCGTAGCAATCTCGACTTGCTTAGCGCTCCAACCTCACGCTTCAAGAGGTAAACACTCGAATCCCTTGTTTCGATTCGTTTACGTTTACACTATATATATTCATGTTTGCTTTCGTATGATTTTATGTGATTATGTGTAATCATTTTAATCGTTGCAAGCATGTTAATTGGTTTAAACGCGAGCATGTTAATTGGTTTAAATTCTGTTAAACATTTTAGCATGTATGTTGTTTTTTATTTCGCGGAAGCGCAAAGGTACGCAATTAATTGATTTTAATTTGTCGGGCATGTGCTTATGTGCTTTAAAGTCGTTTAAATCGCATTAAATTTTTGTTTTCCGCTGCGTACATGTGCCCGAAACCCAACAGGTAGCCCGTCAAATTCCGACTGGCGGAACACAAAATACACCTCCGGCAAGATTCACCGTCGTCGAAATATGTGTCGACTGAAAAAAATTGCAGCGCCCCAAACTGAATGAAATCACCACCAAAAGAAAGAGCTCGACGAGAGGAATCCAACGGTAGTTAAACCATCGAATTCTGACCACCGGAGAGAGTTATGACTACGGGAAGCAATTTCGCTGGTTGAAGATCTATGGGGCGGGATTTGAATCTGAGATTTGAGAGAGGAAGAGAGAGACGACTGTGAGTGGCTAGGGTTTAAAACTGATTTTAAAATGGCAATTTAGGTACTTCAGGGTGGCCGAGGGGGTATGTCAAATTATTATTGAAATGAAGAGGGTTTGCACTAGTGTGTAACCCACATGGTAGTCTGGCCTATATAATTTCGAAATGAGGGGAGTTTCCAAAATAATCTGAATTAAATTTAGGAAAAATTAGCAAGAACCTCCATCTAGGATATGTAGTTAAGAAAAACCCCCTCCAAAAAATAATTAGAGAAAACTCCCTTACCTAATATTCCACTTAAATATTATTTACATAATTCAAAAGGGATTATTAGTGAAAACCCCCCAATACATTAGGATATATTAAAGGGGATTCACCCCCTTTTACTTTATTAGTGATAACCCCCTATATCATAATTAAATCTAATATTTTATTAAATTATTAATTGTTATGCCCATATTACCCCACACCTATTCAAACTAACCTAATTAATTTCTACGTTTCAACATATTATTTATTTCTCACTATCTCTTAGCCTCTTTTTTTTCTCTCTTCACGCATATCCCCATCTTCCACAGATTCAGCCGTCGCCACCGCCGCCACCATCTCCGATTCCACAGCGTCGTCGCCACTACAACATCAGAACCGTGCGACAAATCTGGTTGTAGATTCCTCTCTATCGTCATCGCTCGTCTCCGATGCCGGATCTGTGATCCCGCCGCCGCTACAATTCTCGATGATCTGGAGAGGCAGTACGACTTCATCGACAGTAGATCAATTATCTCTGGTGAGTTAATTGCCGTTTTGATTCAATTTTGTTTTATGTTGTTTGTCTAAGGTTGGTGATTTTTATGCTGTATGTGTACATGATTGTAGTTGGAGTTTTATTATTGTTTCAGTATATTGATAGATTTTTGTGTGTAGTTTAATTTGGGAATTTTATTGTTGCTTTAGTAAATTGACGGAGTTTTGTTTTGTAATTGTATTAGTAAAGTTTATTGCTGCTTTAGTATTTTTTTCATGGAATTTTCTGTTTCTTAGTTGATTAGCATAAGAGAGTATATTGATTTATTGTTTATGCTCTATAGTCGGTTTGGATACTTATAGTCGATTTTATTTAATTTTCATAATCCGACAATTTACTAGCTTACTCATAAATTTATGCCTATTCATTTTTCAGCGCCAACTACAAAATCAAGGGGAGGAAATTCGGACCTTTCATAAAGAGAATATGGGATTCGAGGCAGAAGCTTTTTGCAGAGTTTATTCATTTTGTGGTGGTTCAATTAATTTTTTTCTTAGTTGAAGGATTTTTGCCCATGGATTGGGGAAGATCGTGTTTTTCTAGATGTAACTGCTCGATTATATAGTAGTTTTTGTTGCAATTGGGGTGTTTTCTTTTCTAGTTGATCTCTATAAATTGTAGCTAGTTTCGACTTTTTGCAGTCGATTTCGACAATTTAATAGTTGTTTTAAAAAAATATTATAGTTGTTTTCGATATTTTGTAGTTAATTTTGCCAATTTATAGTCGATTTTGATTTTGTATAGTTCATTCGAGAAAGAATGAACAAAAATAATAGTTGTTTAGTAATTTTGCAGTTCATTTTAATTTTTGTTAAACTTGTTAAACACTACAATTTTGTAGTTGTTTTACGATAATTTTATAGTTGATTATGGAAAAATATGAAATAATAAAAAAATTAAATAGTTGATTTATGAAATATTATAGTTGTTTTCGGAAATATTATAGTTGTTTTCGAAAATATTGTAGTTGATTTCAGAATTTTTTAATTCAATCCTAAAAAAATTTCATTCTTTAATTTTTTAATTTTTAATTTTTTTTACATGTGATTTAAAAAAATAAACGAAAAAAAAGAAAAGAAAAGAAAATGGGACTAAATTGGTGGAGGGAGGGTAAATTTGGGAATAAAAGAAGGGATGGGTCTATCACTAATAAGTGAAAATGGGCTAGACCCATTCTTATTAAAAAAACTAGCATTTTTCCCCGTGCGATGCACGGAATATTATTTGAAAAATAAAAAAAAATAATCAATTTAATACATAATAAGAAAATATAGTACATAGTAAAATTTAATAATGTAGTATTATTCATATTATACATAATATTAGTTTTTTTAAATACTGCATATTAAGATCTATAATCAAAATATATATATTAATATTTAACAAATCGAATTTCTATCTTGATATCTTAAGATTTGAGATATATCGATGAAAAATAAGAGATTGATAATTGTTGAAAATTATAGTAAAAAAATTAGTAGAAAAATATATTAAACACTAGGTTTTTTTAGGGTTGCCCAACGTTTCTTTCTTTTATATATAAGATGATAGAGGGGGTTCTCACTAATAGTCCCAATTCAAAAATTACTTTAACTGTCCAATGTACTCTTTTAAAACCCTAATCTCATTTTTTTCTCTTTTTTTTTTTTTTTTTTTTTTTTTTTTTTTATTTCTCGTTTCGTTCTTCTCTAGAGTTTTCTTCTCTGTTTCTCGTTTCTTTCTACCCTTTCTCGTTTCTTTCTTCTTTCTTCTTTGTTTTACCTTCCTTTTTCTCATAAACGTATCACATTCTTCTGCAGTTTTCGAAGGTCTTGAAACATCATTTGCTGATCTCAAAAAGAAAAGGAAAAAGGCTTGAAGTACTAGCCGATGACAAATTGTCATAAAGAAGTTTTGCTCATAGGGGAGCTTAAAAAATTAATGGAGAATATGGGGATTGAGCAGTACAAGATTCTTGCACTCCCTTTGTGCAGACAAATAACAAAGTGTCTCAACAGTTGGAATTCACAGGTATTTTTTATTTATTTTTTCAAAATTATGAAACTGAAAAAAAATAAAGAATAATTCTTAATTTATTTCCTTTAGTAGGATGACGGTTTCATCCATATATATCATGATCGATGCTTGATGCATTTCTCTAGCTTTTGTTTTTCTTTGTCGATATATATAACTTTTTTGAACTTTAGATATTGTTGGAAAGGATGAGGAGGGAGAAGGAATTGCTTTGCAACTGTATGCATGGGAAGGAAGCAATCGAGATTATAAATATGATGAGGTGGTGATGTTGTGGTGTGACGGCTGTGTTGTGACGATGGGGAGGCAGATTTAGGATTTGTTGGTGGATCGGACGGCGGATGACGTGGTTTGCGCAGGCTGGATCCTTAATTGATTATATATTTTGGTAGTCGATTAAGTTAATCGACTATGCTCAGGCAGTCGATTAAGTTGATCGACTATGCTTTGGTAGTCGATTAAAGCGTTAATCGACTGTTTTGATAGTCAATTAAGGTTGCTCGATTTCATTTTGGGATTTTTGTGTATTGATTCTGGTTTGTATAAATCAATTACAATTTATGTATATTATTTGTTTTGTAAAAGAAATGTTGATTTTCGTTTTTATGTAGTGTTTTTTTATTTTTAATAGTCAGTTCCTTAATCGAATACGTTCAACGCCGGAGACCCGGCGGTCAGCAGCGGTTGACCTATCGGAAAAAAAAAAAAAGAAAAAAAAGTCAACGCCGGAGACCGGCGGTCTCCGGTGGTGCGGGTCAAAATTGAAATTAGGTTAAAATTGGTTAATTGATGAAATTAGGCTAAAGTAGGGTGTAAATCACGAAATTGGAGTTGAATTGAGTTTCAATGAATTGGGTTACAATGAATTGGGGGTAATTTTGATGCATATAAAAGGATTTTCCTTGTTTGCAAATAAGTTTGAATGAGCTGGATTTATTTGAAAGACAAAAATGTTGGATGTCCATTTTTTAATTAAGTGCACTTGTTATGGGCCTATTTGCCATTTGCCCTTATTTTTTTATATTTTCCGATTTTCTTTTCGAAATTTTTTTTTACGGAATTTTTTTTTTCGGAATTTTTTTTTTTTTGGAAAAAACAAGTTCGGAAAAGAAATATTTTTCGGGAAATAAACATATTTTTTGGAAAAAAATATTTTTGCAAAAAAAAAATATTGTTTGCAAAAAAATATATTGTTTGCAAAAAATATTATTTTTTGCAAAAAAACTATTTTTTGAAAAAAAAAATAGTTTTCGGAAAAAAAAATAATTTTTCGAAAAAAATAAATTTTCGAATTTTTTTTAATTTTTTCGATTTTTCTTTTTTTTGTTCGATTTCCGTTTATTTTTTCGATTTTTTTATTTTTTTTATTTTATATTTATTATTATTTTTTTGAATAATTGAAATGTCATTGTGCTAAAAAGATGAGAGTTAGAAGGACAATTTTGTCATTAACATATCTAATCATAGTCTAATAATTTTATTGGACATCTCAAGGTCCAATTAGTTATCTCCCAATTAGCCAAGATAAGCCATGACAAAACTATTTTAGCGGTTCGAACCGGAAAATAATATGACTAACCAAACATCAAACTAAATCTTACTATTTAGTTAATCTTAACTAATCTTGCCAACCAAACGGCGCATAGTCGATGACAATATAGTAATCATGTCAAAATAAAAATTTAAAAAAAAGTTTAAAGATTAGAAAATCAAGTATAAAAAATTAGAATAAAAATCTACGTGGAGATAGAGAAAATGGTATTGCTATGTACGATGTTGGAAATATGAAAAGAGTGGGAAAATATATGTTGTATTAATCTTTTTGTGAGTGCACTATTTTTGTTCTGATTAACTTCTCTTCAGCTCCAATAAGGTCGTGTTTGGCTAATCTTATATTAAATATCTTATAAGTTTTTATATTTGATAAGTTATTTTAAGAGCTAATAATATATTGCGTCTTACCTTATATATAAAGTAAACATTACGTTTTATTTCAGTTGAGGTCCAGTTTCAAACTCTTTTATGAAAAAATCCACACAAAATACAGAGGTGTGTAAAAGACTAAAATACCCCCTCACATTTTAATATACCTAAATTTCATCCATTTAATCCCATTTACTAATGCCATTTAACACTAGTTTTACTTCAATTTTATCAATTATTCAATTTGACCTCTCGCCCACTTTTGACTGTTGACCGTCGGTCTCCGGCGTTGATTATTTTTTTCAAAACATTTTTTGGCACCGGTAAAAACAGTAATACTATAGTGGTTGACAATAAAATTAACTATGTTACTGTTTAACATAATCATATAGACAACAATATTGCTATTACTAACTAGCACAACAATATTAACACAATGTTATCACTATGTTGCATAATAAATTAATGTGCAATATCTTAATATTATTATGTATATATTAATATTATTATGTTGAATGATCGACAAAGGCAAACAAAAAAAGGCTAAAACAAGTTAATATTTTTGTGGTTGACAATACTATTATTGTCAACCACAGTAGTATTATTGAGTTTGACAATAATATAACTGTCAACCACAGTAATATTACAATACAAGACAGTAAATATTATTACGTTGGCCAATCAACAAAGCAACAAAAGAAAAAAAAAAATTAATGTAGTTAACAATGATATTAATGTGGTTGACAGTAATTTAGTAATATTATTGTGGTTGACGGTAAAATTACTGCCAACAACCACAATAATATTTTTGTCAACGATTAGCGGTGGATAGAAAAAAAATAAATCCAGAAAAAAAAAAAAAAAAAAAAAAAAAAAAAAAAAAGACAATACCGCCATAAACCAGTGTTAATCGCCGGTAACGACAGTGGAAAAAGGCAAAAAAAAAAAAGATTAAAAAAAAGTAGACAAAAAAATTGAATTTTGGTATTCAAAATTGATAAAATTCGAGTTAAATTAGAATTAGTAGCGGAAAGAAAAAAAAAAAACAAAAAAAAAAAAAAAACAAGACAATACTACCGCGTTAGACCAGTGTTGATTGCCGATCAACAAAAAAAAAAAAAAAATCAATACCAACGATCGAAAAGAAAGTTTCAGAAACAAAATCAAAATCGAATTTTTGTAATCAAAATTGATAAAATTTGAGTGAAGTTAGGATTACAGTTGAATTTCAATTTGGTTTACATAGGTTGATTATATTTTAAAAACATTAAATTTAACATTGTGGCTGCTGGGATTCGAGCCCAGGTCTCCACGGCCACAACGTGGAATTCTTACCACTAAACTACAGCCACTTTTTGAAAAGTTTTTAAGTTATTGATATTACCTTCAAATATTACATTAAAAAAGTAGGATATAGATGCATTCTCGTGTTGCAACTCCTCTCCAAACGGTTGGGACTCTAGTGAATAACTATGTTAATTCCTTCATTTTTTTTTCTTTTCAGAATAATTTCTACCCCTATACTATACATATAGAATAAGTATGGAGATACTTGAATGTTCACAGAGGCAGTCGTTTTTG